TTCCTTTTTAAAGAAAAACACCATTGGTGGGTCACAGCAGGCATGGGCAAGACAAATGTGAATACCAGAGTGACCAGAGCTCAAATGTTAGACATTTGGAGAAAAAAAAAAAAAAATTAGCAAGTGGTGGGGGTGGGGAGTTATACAATAAAGATATGTTAAGACCCCATACCTATTTTAACCCTTAAATCATTAAAAACAACACCCTCTCAAAATATTCCTGTAGTCTAAAATAATTATTTTTCCATCAAATATTGGCAGTGAGATCTTGGAGAATTTGGGGTCTGCAAAAATGTGTATGGGGTCATGTCTACAGCCTATGTAGTCAGAGAGTTCCTATTCCTGTCTTACACAGTAGAATAAAGTCTTTATCTGAAGTAGCTTTCCTTCCATTTATGGTGGAAGTCAAAAATGCTGCTGTAGGTATGTGGTAGATGCCACAATGATGTTGAAATAACATTGCGTGTATCACCAAAATCATGTCATTTGCAGCATGACCTCATGACACATGCAATGCCACTTAACCCCTTCCCCTTCCCTACAGATGCCCACAACAACCGACACCCCTTTCAAGCAGTGCCACTTTACACCAACTTCTGCCATGTGATGAAAACAGAGCAGCCATCTTTTATTCTGAAAAGTGACTTAAAAAAAACGGTGGTCCCAATTTCTGCATGATTTATTTGGTTTTATTTATATCCTATTTTTCAAATGTTCTCCCATCCCCCATTTTATTTTCATGATAATCCTAGATAAAGATTGCAACTGACCCAAAGTGAGCTCCATGGATGAGGTGAGACTTGAAATGGTGTCTTCCAGTGTTAATTCAACACTCCAGCCACTACCTGACAATCATCTTCTTCCTATTCACTGTTCAACAGTAAACGCCTTTTAGGGGGTATTCTCAGTCCTGTTTTCCAAGACCCATGGAAGCTCCTTTCTATCCTTCCAAGAGGCAAGAAGCTGCCTTTTAAGAAGATGAAAAGCAAGTTTTAAAATGGCAAACCTCACAAACCTTTGTAATGTAGACTGCACTTTGCAGACAATTCTGTGTTTTGGAAAACTTTGACTAATTGTTTACCTACCTCCCAGTGTGAACCAGGCTCCTAGAGTTGTAGTCAGTTACATTTCACTCCAAAATTCACAAAATGTGGGATCAGACTTCAATTGCATTAGCATCTATTTTTGCTTATACTACTCCATCTTCAAAGGATGCTGGTTTCTTAATCTTGAAAACGAAATTGTATGGACAGCAGATTTTACTAATTTTGCAAGTGTAGAGATTAGAGCTAAAATAAGAATAAGAGATTAGAGATTAGAGATAAGAATAAAAAAGCAGGAGAAAGACCACTTTGATTTTATATATGTGGTGGAAAAGAATCAATTGTTGAATGCTACTTTTATGGGACAGTTGTCATGGTGGTTTAAAACCTCCTGCCAATCTTCTTGAGTTTCATTGCTAGTCTTTACATGTTGCCACCTCTTGATCCTACAAAATTACAGGGCTTTGGAGTCTCTTCAGAGTCTTCAGTTCGTAAGCTGTAAAAGCAACAAGGATAGCAAAGATCAGAGGCTACAGGAGGAGTCTCTGATGAAATCTTATTTAATTTGCTAATTTGGAAGCAATTATGTGTCTAGTCTACATTCTTCACCAGTATGACCTTAAACTAGGGGTGGGCAATTCATGGTCTGTAGGCAGCTGTATGGAGCCAGTCCCTGCACCAGGCCCCTTTTTCTGCCCCAGAGCATCCAGGGTGTGCCACACAGCTCTGACATTTAGCAAACTTCCTTATGGATGAGTGAAGGAACTCAACCTGAGCCTCCCTATTTCTAATTCAGCTTCCTAATTACTGTATCACATTGCCTATAACCATTGTTGCTAAAGTTCCTCTTCAGTTTATCAGTTCTGCGAACAAAGATGATTTTTATTGTGTGTGTGTGTATGCATATTCCAGTTTTATCAAGAACTCTGCCTTATAAAAATGACAGTTTGCATTACGCTATCATGGGAAAATCTGGAGAGATCTTTTGGGCTATCTAGTCACAAGAAAATAAAAATGTGTAATACAAAGTATTATCTATCAATTGGATTCATTTATATTAAGAGAGATCTTGCATATACTTTGCAGTTAGTTTTTGTATTGTTAATAGAAAGTACATTTTTTAAAGAAAGTGGTATGTTAATCATATGCATATCTATGAACCAGAGAGTTTGAAAACAAGGAGCACTAGATCTTGTCTATGCACTTTGACATTGGTCTCTAGGCCCAACTAGCACAGAGGTAGGCAGCTGGATGCTCTCCAAAGTTTGTGACTTCAAATGCCATAAGTCCCAACCTTTATTTAGAGATCACAGGAATTGTGATCTAAAACATTTTGAGAGTGCTAGATTGTTCATGCTTAACTAGTGGATATAATCATCTTTAGATAACAAAGACTGCACTTCCCTGGACTGAGCTGGTGTGTATTTTGGGGGTCCTCCTGGATTCACACTCCTGCTCAAACAGCATATGGTAGCCATGGCTAAGAAGGGCCTTTGCACAAATTTGTCTTGTGTGCCAATTGTGCCCTTCCCTGGACTGGGAGTTCTTGTTCACAGTCACTCACACCTTAGTCACTTCCTGCTTGGATAACTACAATGTTCTCTACATGGGGCTCCCCTTGAAGACCACTTGGAAACTGGTGCAGAACGCAGCAGCGTGCACAGTGCTGGGTGCTTCTAGGTTCACCCATGTTACACCTCTGTTGTGCGAGCTGCACTTGCTTCCAGTTTCCTTCCAGGTTCAAATCAAGGTGCTGGTTATCACTTTTAAGGCCCTACATGGCACAGGACCAGGTTATCTGTGGGACTACCTCTCCCTGAGAGTATCTGCCTGCCCTACCAGATTGGATAGAGTAGGCATGTTCCAGGTCCCTTCCTTGAAATGTTGCCATCTAGAGGGACTTCGGTAGCATGCCTCTTCCCTACCTAATGGACTATCTTCCCCCCCCCCCCCGACCCCACTCCTGTGATCTGTCAAGTTCCCACCCTTTTAGCCTTCTGGTTTTTTACTCAGACACTGGTTTAGAGTGAAGGTGTCTTGGGTTAGTTGTTGGGGCTTCCCAAGAGGATGACTGAGGTATGGGATTTTGTTTTTGCTTTATAGTTTTATGTGTTTATGTTTTTTTTAAAAATAGTTCTGGGGTTTTATTGCTGTTGTGAGCCATCCAGATTTGTGTTTTAAGATGGGTGGCCATACAAGTCTTTTAAATAACAATAAACAAATAAATAAATAATTCAGTTGCCTTCTCTGTTCCCTGCAAAGTATCTGCTGCTGTAGTAAATGGAGGGTTTGGTATAGCCTACTTTCCATATCATCACATCTGTTCTTTGTGCCTCTAACCTGATTGCCTGATCTCACTGAGGTCTGATATCCAGTGAATTTCAGTCATCATCTCTTCATTCAGAAAACCCTGCTACAAATAATTTTTGAGAGGGAGAATGCAATGGTAGGGTAGAAAGAGGAAGTGGGGAGAGACAGAATGAGGGAGATAGACTGGTTGTACTTTGCAAAATATCCACCTTGCTTGATCAGGTCCATTAAATATTTATTTGTAAGCGTCTGCCCACTGAGCATCTGGAAGGGGAGGGAGGCAGCTAACATTATTAACTGTCTGGATTCAAAATAATCTCAAAAACTTTTTTAAAAAGTTAATTAGCATCTCAAGTGTGCAGAACACAGGGCAGCAGTTGCTTCATGATTTAACAAGGCAAGTTGGGGACAAGCTGGATGGCCAAGGGAAAATCACTGGTCCTTCCTCCTGTTAATTCTTCAGACTCATTCTTTTCTCAAGATCAAAGCCTCCTCAGTCAGCCCAGGCCAAGGAATCCCCAATGTGTAAACTCTTGGGAACTATTTGAAGTCTACTGACTCTTTCTTCAACTGAGTATGCAGCAGGAGGTCCTTGGCGTACAGAAAACAGATTCTCTCTTCTTCCCTCCATCCAAACATTGCCAGCAATAAGCAAATGATAAGACTAATGTATTTTCATTTTTGTGCAGATGATTAAAGTGGGAGAGGGCCAGTCTTTTGTAACATGCAGCAATTTGTTAGATATCAGTATTTTCTTTAAAAAGCAGTGGGGGAAGGAAAGCCCATTATAGGAATCAGAAGAAGAAATAAATGCAGTGTTTGGGAAAATATGCATAGAAATAAAGCTTTTGGTCCTGGATGGTGCCCAGTTGTGATGCCAATTATTATGCAAATACCTAAATGATTTACTCTCTGATATTTAATGAACTTTATCATGTGGCTTTCTGTGAATAGTAAAGCTTCGTTTACATTTTCCCCCTTGTCTGCTTTGATTTGCCTCCTTGGGATCACTTAAAGTGCATTAAGAAGTTGAGCACGAGATCAGGGTGATTTGCTGCAAAACCTAAATAATTCATTTAAGCGCTGCTGCTTTCTGCCAGTGTTTTTACAAATGCTGTAACAAGACAAGCTGCAAAATGTTTTACATGGAGAGAACACATATTACTGCTAAAGGAAAACCCTTTTGCACAGAAATGCCTCTGGGGCTCCCCCTCATGTTACCTTTGTAGTGTAGGAACTATTCAGCAAGGTGGCTTCCTATACTATGGATGTCATGCCAAGAGTTCTGAATGATGATCCTGCAAAGATTGTGTAAAATCTGTGTGGACAAATCTGCATTAAGTCCATCTTACAACTGGTCTTGTAGGGAACATTCTGGTCTGTCAGATGGGAGGTGGCATGTCCAGATTTTTTGAAGAGATCTGTTGAACAATCACTCTGTCATTTTCACCTTTCTGTAATGCGTAGAAGTTCATACACATTTTCCCAACAGATCTTTTTAATGTTAATTTCCCTGGTGCCTTTCCTTTTAATGAACAATAATGTTAATTATCTCCATTATTTTGCATACAAAGTTTTCTATGCCACTTTTTCAAGGGTATGTATGAGTATATATGTATGTGTGTGTATATGTGCATGGCACATACACACAAACATGTATATATCCGAACCAGTATGTCAATGTGTGTAACATTTGACTGAAGAGATGTTAGACATAGTGGACTCTATCCATGCCCTAGTGAGCTCTGTTTTGATAGAGCTATCACATTTGCTCCCATAGAAATTGGAGGTGAATTTCTTTTACATCCTGATCTGAGTCCTGTCCAAGCACTTTCAAAACTGAATATTGTGAATGTCCAAGGAGGATCCCACCATCATGCTACATTCTCCTATAGTTATCTGATCATCTTGGCCACAGAATTCACAGGGACAATTGTCAGCAACTATAAGAAAGCAGGAAGGCATGGCATAATAGTCCTTTGGGATGGCTGTCTTGAGAAGAAAGGGAAATAGCAACAAAGGGTCTCTGTGTATGTATGTACAAAGCCCAGATCTTATTTGATCTTGCACAATCACTGTCCATTGAACAAAACTGATCACAATGTGACACATCCCTTTAGACTGATTGCATCAGAGAGAGGAGGAATGGTAAAGGAGGCACATGGAACAAGCTATGACTTTTCATCTTATAAATGCGAACATGGCTATTTCCATTCCTAATTTCAGTTTACTTGTTCTTTTATTTAAAGATAAGTGTTCTCATGCAGTTATTCTATGTTTAAAAATAGAACTTCAGAGCAAGATAGCAGTGGCTAATATTTAAAATGTATATAATGCTCTCAAATGTTCAACATGACCCCCTTTAATTACTGGCCTTTAATATGGTCCTATAAAATAGGTTAGGATTCTTATTCCCATATTGCAAAAGAGAATGGCAAGGATTTGAAACAAAGGGGAGTGCTTCTTCCTAAGACAGCTAATGACTTTAGAGATCTGAGTGTTTACTTAGTGTTCAAATCAGCCCTCAGCTATGGAGTTTACAGTCTGACCTTTAGTTAGTCAATATTTCTCAGCCTCGCCTACCTCACCTGGTAGTTTTGAAAGCAAGATTAAGGACAAGGATTATGGATTCTGCTTTGAAAGCAAGGTGGGATGTCATTGTAAAATAATAAAGTAAAGAGGGGCAGGATTCAGCCTGGAACTATCTGATGAATCAACTTAATCTTTCTGCCTCAATAACCTTTTGGGGCCATTATTTTCCAAAAGACAATGTCCACACTAATCCCCCATCCTGGATCTTCTCTGTCATCCCACCTTTAACACTGCCTCTTCCCCCAGGATGTAGACACATTTCCACATGATGTCCCTGGGCCACAGACCATATTACTTCTTGAGTAACAAAGCCTATTTGGCTTATTCGGAGCCCCAAAACATTCCAGGAATTAAAGGGGATTCTAGAAGCTGATGATTTTGCTTTGCAGCATGCCAACTTTTGTATTTTTATTTTTTAATAAAACCTAAATAAAAAATAAAATTAGATGCTGCAGGGATCCTATCAGGTACAAAAGAAATTTACTTTGTGTTACGTAACTCTGTGTTATGTTGGACCTCTTAATATCCTAATGTGACCTTCATAGGAAAGCTACTCTGAATTTCTCAGCAGTTATGGAAGATAGAAGAAAGCACTATTTATCTCTTTAAAAGGAGTGGGCAATTCACACAAGAGTGTTTTAAAAGAAACTGACCTTCTGCTCTGCAGACTTTTAGTGGCTGAGCGGCTGTTTTCTCCCTGTAGACCTTTTAGTCCTGTTTCATAAGTATCTGGTTCCTTTTAATAAATTCAGCACATTTTGATGGCAAAGTGACTACAAGTAGCTAAAGTGACAGCTGCTAGCGACAGGCGAGAGCTTGTTAAGCCCAAAAAGATGTCACACCATTTTCAGAGCAGTGCTTGTCCCCCCCCCCCCATCCCTTTCTCTCCCAGCAGCTCTTTGGGATGAGCATAGAATAATATAATATATTCTTTGCAGCCTGAAACAGGTAGTCAACGAGGGTGTTTATTCATTGAAGGTCAGGCTTTTGTATTATGAAACTTCTAGCAGATGCGATAAGCAGTAAATTGCAGATCTATCACTCCCCCCACTTCCCAGGGAGCGTGTGTGTGAAATCAGCAGAATACGGCCTCAGTTTGATTTATAGCCCACTTTTGACCAACTCTTATCTAGTTCCCACAAGCCCTTTTCTGATGCAGCTCATGTCTGAACGACAATAGACAACCACTGCCATTATGCTCCAAAATCGCTCTCTGCATTCTAGACACCTAAGATTACATCTGGGCTATTGATTTATTACTGCCTCCCCTACCCCCACCCCACCCCTCCCGGGACCACGTTTGTTCAGCCTGAACTAGATAGACTATTATTAAACTGAGCAAACAACTCCATGTGAACTTGCTAAGGAAATAATCATTTGCAACCACCTTTTTAACAACCTGGATGCGCAAAGCAACCAAGGGTTTGAAATATTAAGCCTATTTTTAATGTGTGTAGGAACCACTTGTGCTTTGCTCAGATTGTATTTAATTTATACAAAAAGGATAATATCGCAAACATATTCTGATTTTCTTTCTTCAGCTCCTGTAGTCCTCCAGTATATATTGTATATATTTGGTTTAAAATCTAAATAATGTCAAAGCTCTTCCTTTTCCATATTGGGATCTTTTTCTCTTTCAGTAGCAGACACATTTTATGGCTTTTAGAGCCTCAGGAAAAATATAAATTTTGCAGTACATCCTACTTTATCTCTTCTAACAATCTACTGCAAAAGATTTTTTGCGCCTGTGTTCATCTGTAAAACAGCTAGGTATGTTCCCTCTTTTATGTATAAAAATTATATATCAATTTTTGCTGTATTCATTCAATTATTAGATTATTCATCCTCATTGTCAACCTAACTTGTTTTGTTTTGTACACTACTAAGGGTCAGTGTACCAGTGATATTTGCTCAAGGATGGAATGAAGGTATTTCTGTTTTATCTCCAGAAGTTGCTGCACCGAGAGATCTTTCTGTGATGTTTATTTGGATTTCAGTTAGATTTTTTATTTTATTTAAGTGATTTAAATGGCTATCCAGCTCACAACCATGACTCTGGGTGGTGTACAAGGATTAAATAAATTAATACTTAGAACAGTTTGTCTTTTTTGGGGTGGGTGATATATAGCCGTCTCTATTACTACCATACTGACTTGAAACTGTCCTGCCCTGCCCATAGACTCTAGGACTCTCCAAACAGATGTGGAAAAGGACTGTGGGTCCTTCTGCGGCTAAGAAAGTCCTCAGAGGTTGACACTAGTCAATCAAAATCTCAGCTAAACATTATGCATGAAATATATTACATAGATATTTGTTTGCAGGCTCCTATCCTGAATAAATATCACCTTGAATACTAAACAAATCTTAGAAAAGCCATGCCTTCTCTGAAGAGTGATTTGAATTTCCATCCTATTCTATTGATTATTATTTGGAACACTACCACTCTTTCAAACCAAATGAAATCTATCTATCTATCTATCTATCTATCTATCTATCTATCTATCTATCTATCTATCTATCTATCTATGAAAAAAATGGAGTCATCTTTATTGACCTCATGTTACTCTTTTAATAACATATCTCCCTTCCACTTTCTTTCTACTTCCCCTTCTCCTCTTATTGTACTGAAAGGATAATGGTGAGGCTTAAAAAAAAAAGAATTAAGCATATTTTTGCTACCAGCCAGTCTGTCTCGTAATCCAGTCAAACATGTTTGCTTTTTTGCCTGCTGCTGAGTCTTCAGCAGGTGCTTTCATCAAGCTGTCTACACCAATACTGAGTTCCCTTTTCCTGTGTGGTTACATTTAATTTAGAACCCATCAACGTGTATGAGGAGTTCAAGCCAATTCTGTCCATTGTGAATTCTCATGCATGTCTATCGTGAATTTTCACCTGCTTCTCTTGTCTAATTCCTATGTATTATATTATTTGTTCCTCTTCCTTTTTCTCCTCCTCCTCCTTCACAAAGAGCTACAGTTTCCTGGATAAAGATTTGTGCTCTTTATAAATGAAAAAGCAGACATTCCCCATCCTCTTCCTCCTCCTCTCCACCACCACCACCACCACCATCATCATCATCATCATCATCATCATCATCATCATCAATCAATTCATGATGCATCCTATGCATGCTTATTCAGTGGGGTTTATCCCAGATAAATAAGTATGAGATTATAGTTTAATATGTGGGATTGGCCTTTTCAGTGGACTACAGTTTTTGTGATGAGCAGATCATATACACATTCAAAAGTAGCACATCTTTCACAGTGCTTTTATAAAATATATTCCCAGTTTCCAAAATCTTGGTTTTCAAATATTCTACATTTTTTTAGCATCCATGATATCCTAAGGAGGGAGGTAAGTAGAGTGGAGTCCTGTGATGAGGATTTTAGTTGTGAAATAGTCAAAGCTTTCCTAGGTGAGACAGAAGAGGGGTTTAGAAATAAGGAATGGACCAAAATTTTAGCACTCTGGGGATTATTATCCCAGGGAATAAGGAAGTATTAGGGGATGTCCTTAGAATAAGAAAGATTGTACAATGGGTCCTATGATACAGCAATGCCCTGAACATGTGAAAAGTATTTTTTCCCCCTGCTTTTCTGAAAAGAAAACATCAAGCATCTTTTAGAGTCACTGTTCTATCATTGTTTCTCTTTTTTAATGAAGGGAAGTAATGCTTATTTACAAATACACACAGTGGAAATATATTTCTATGATGTCACTATTTTTATCATGGTACAATTTATATAAATATAGTCACTAAATTAAACTGTATTTTTGCCCTCCTTAGAACTGGGCAGGGATATCCAGTGGAGGGGGATCAAAATCTGCTAGATATGGCTGTAGGATCTCAAGGCAAGGTCCACTCCTTTTCTATACAGGTGCAATCTTGCAGATTGTGACTGCCCTTGTGGATACTGCTAGAACTGGGAAGTTATTTATTTATTCTGCAAATTTATATGGCCATGCCTCTTAATCAAATAACTCTGAGCAGCTAGCAAGGCATAAAACCAGAAATATACATATAAAAATAGTCAAAAGAACAATAAAAAATGCCAAGTAAAAATAATCAACCCTTCAATCATCACAAGACAAAACCATAAACAGGACTCCACTAACATCTTGGCCCTAATGCCTGAGGGATAGATGAGACATGCCTCCTGAGTCCCATCAGATGGCATTATTTCATAGAAGGGCCTAGAGCATACCCACCCTGCCAGAATGTGTGGGATGGGCAGAAACAAGCAGACAGGAAATCCCTCAAGTATCCTGGCCCCATGCCGTGTAGGCTTTAAATATGATGATCAGCATCTTGAATTGCACCCAGAAACCTGCTGGAAGCCAGTGCACCTTGGGTAGCAATGTTACATGGCATACCATGGTGCATACATTCTGAACCAGCTGCAGCTTCCAAAGGCTTTTGACAGCAGCCCTAAGTAGAGCAGATGTCAACAGTCCAAAAGGGAAGTGACTAAGACATGAGGGACTATGAGCAAAGGCTCCTGATCCAGGAGTGGGTGCAATTGGTACATTCAATGAATTTATACAAAGTTCTCTGGGCCATGACTGCCAGCTGCTCCTTGACCTGAAGCTAGGAGTCCAGGAGGACTTTCCAACTGCACACCAGCTTCATCTGGGAAGGCCTTAAAACTCATAGCCATTTGGTGTTGTTAGGATTGAGTTGGAACCTGGTCCTTCCCATCCCTTGAGTTGAACCTAGACAGCATCACAGTATAGCCAGGTGCAGAGATATTTAATTGAGTAACATCTGTATAGTGATGATACGTGACCTCCGTGGCAATGGATGACCTCACCCCACATAATATAGGTATTAAATAGCACCAGGGAAAGAGAACAGGGTCATAAGGCTAGACCTCTGTTCCCCCAAACACTGCTTGGAATCAGCTTCAGGGGAATGAGGACAGTGCCCCCCTCTCCCAATTCCCTAAGCTGGTCCAGAAGGGTACCATAACTTATGGTATGAAAAGTTGAGGAGCAATCAAGGAGGGCTAGGATGAAGACACCACCCCTGGCCCTCCAGAGTCCATACACAAGCATGATCAATGCCTTCTTGGTGCTATACCCCAAGCTGACAAGGATTTAGATAATCTTGTTTCCTCCAGGGCCTTTTGGAACTGCAGGCCCATAACCTTCTCCAGAATATTTCCCTGAAAGGGAAGTTTGGAGATGAGATGAAAATTGGCCCATTCTCTTGGATCCAACAATGATCTCTTGAGAAGAGGGTGAACCACCACTTCCTTCAAAGCAGGTGGCACCATTTCTTTCTGTAAAGAGAGGAGTTGTTACAGTTGCTGCAAATCAAACAATAGATTAATATATGCCAGGTTAACCTTGGCATAGTTCGTGAATAAATTTTAGTTCAGAAAGGATCAAATGTGTTCTTTCTGCGTTAATTTTATGTTGTGCAATAGTAGAAAGCCAGGATCTTCTCTGCCTTCCAGTAAAAACCAAACCCGCTCCTTAGAAAATAATCAGAACCTGAACAGCACAATCAACTTCCAACAGACACAAAACTATTTCTGTAGTTTTAACTCTTCGTGCACTGTGGCATACACATTACCACTTATTAGTATTTGGTTTTCCTATCCTCATCCCTTCCTAGTAAAAAGGAAATGTTTTACTTTACAGAAGTATTTAATAGTGGAAGGCCTTATACATATTGGGTTGGTTAGTTTTTTTTATTTTTTATTTTTTTATCCTCATTATTTTTTATCAATAACTCAAGGCAGCAAACATGCCTAATACTCCTTCCTCCCCCTATTTTCCCCACAGCAACAACCCTGTGAGGTGAGTTGGGCTGAGAGAGAGGCA